TACAGTCCTATGGCTATGTTTTTTTGTACTTTTCTGATGATTCATTTATTTGTTGCCATTTATTGAGTGATAATCATATGTCAGTCCCTAAAAGCTGCTCTTTCTCTCATACAGATGGCCATTTGGGGGCAAAGTAGACTAGAAACAAAGGGGTTAATAAGTCCTGTATTCCCTTATAATCATATCTCAGTAGACCTGGAATTGAATAATAGGGTCCTTGCCCTTAGTATTGTAAACAGATAAATAGTTATAATCAGTATGAACCTTTTTAAAAACAGACATGAGCAAAGTGTTGCAGAAATGGAGGGGAGAAATTATCTGTAAAAATATCTAAAATAGAAATTTTAACTTCTTTACAATCCCCAGACAGAATCTTACATGGAATCCTAAGATACCAAAAATGGAAATGATACTAAAGTATCAATGGCTAGTGTAACCTGTTTCTTTCTTATCATTTTTTTTATCTTAAAAGTTATCTTTTTTTCACTCTCTCATTGATTTATAGTAAAATTTATTATTTATTTGCTTTTTTCCCTTTAGGGTTTTCCTTTTTATTAAAGAGGATTTTTAAGAGCTCTGTATGTGTTAAAACTGAATCCTTTTCATAGTTTTTCATATTTTTCTTAGTTTGTATATTGTAACGCTGTCTTTATTTATTTTTCATTTACAGGAGTTTAAAGTTGTTAGGAACTCAATATATTTGCCTCTTAATAATTCTTTTATTTTTTTAAACATATAAGTCCTTCTTGGCCCATAGATCAGGCACAGAATAGTATTTTTTTTTTTTTTGAACTTTTTATTTTGAATTTAGTGAAGGTTTATAGAGCAGATCATCCTCCCAACCTTCAGCAAATCATACACTCTGTGTCATTACAGTGATTGCAATCCCCTCCATGTACCTTCAGTTTCCAGTATTTACCTCTGTCTACTCTAACTCCTCTATTCTTTGCATTTAACTTTTTAATTGATCTAGAATTTAAATTTGTATGACCTCTTACTCTTTTTTTAGGATGGAAATGGAGTTGTACGTGGTTACTACTTATCTGTGTTTCTGGAACTCTCAGCTGGATTGCCTGAAACTTCCAAGTAAGACATATAATAAAATTACATACTTTCCTTAACAGTTTTTGTTAATTATTTTTGTCTTAAGTGAGAACAATATTATCATTTTGAGCATGTGGTGCTGTAAGATAAGTAATAGACTACTAACCGTAAGGTTGATGCTTCAAACACAACGGTCTCTCCTTGGAAAACCCTATACAGGGTCACTGTGAGTTACAACCTACTCGACAGCACTTAACAACAACAATCTTATTTTGTCACAATTTGATATTTGTGGGGAAAAGTGGACTGTTCTTTCTGTCTCTGAAAATTTGTTCCAAGTTTGAAGTTATGATTGTCCAGTTCATTTTAAGATACTTCCCTTTAAACATTGAAAACAATATATTCTTATATTTACAAACAGACCTAACATATATAAAATTGTCTTTAAGGACAATGCCAGTTGACCTAGATGTCCCTTGAGATTATGGTCCCTAGCCATCATACCTAATACCTCAATCCCAGGAGGTTGGTAGCTCTATTTTTAGGGTTTTTGTGTTTTGTTTTGTTTTTAAGAATTGTTATCTTGTTTTCCATAAGAGCTGTACCATTTTGTATTCTCAGTTGCAATGGATAAGGGTTCCCCGTATTTTCGCCAACACTTTATTATTTATTATTATTTTTCAAATCTTGGCCATCTTAGTGGATGTAAAATTGTATCTCAGTGTGGTATAGATTTGTATCTCTCGGATGACTAATGATGATTTGAACATCTTTTCACTTGTTTAGTGGCTATTTGAATGCCCTGTTGGTGAATTGTCTATTCAAGTCCTTTGTCCGTTTTATGATTGGCTACCTTTTGTTTTTAAGTTATCAAAGTTTTACGTATATTTTGGTTATTAGATTCTTGTTAGATGTATGGGTTTCATAGATGGTCTCCCATTTAGTAACTTAACTTTTTTCACATCGCCATGCTTCCTCCTTGGTCCATATGTCTATATTCAATGCTAAGAGATTTTTAAAATCTAAATTTGAGTTATTCTAATTTATAGTCTGTAGGATAAGCACTTGGCCATAAGGTTGGTTTAAACCACAAGGTAGGCAATTCAAACTTACCATCCACTCTTTGGAAAACCTATACAGGGTTTCTCAGAGTCAAAACTGACTCCATGATACTTAACAATGTCTAATAGTGCTATGATACTTGACTGGACTGCTAAATTTTATCAGCTGCTCTTGTGTTCAAGTATTGAGCTTAAATTCTTCTGAGTAGATCATACCAAGCTATCACACTATTAGACTCTTTGCTGTTTATTTTTTTCATTTGGTTAGTTTTCTTTTATGAGGGTAGTCTTTAAATTGTTGACTCATGCAAGATTCTCAGAGCCTACTCTGGAAATTTTTTATGTCATGGAATGGGGCACTTAATGCCACACTTTGTACTGCAGACTTTATTTGCCACATGACTTCCATGTAATCTAAGCAGACAGACTTTCACAGCTTTTGTATTGTTTAATGTGTTGTGCTACCAAATCATATTATTTGTTGTCAGAGATATGTAAAAATACCTTGAACACAAAGCACTTAACTACTTCGCCCAATATTTCTAAGTTAAGAGTTTACAATCTTTTTCTTTTGCCAGAAGGAATAACAGGTTGCAACTATTAATGTTTTCCTTTAAAAATTTTATCTTCATCCAAAAAGTTATGGTTGTTGTTTAGTATTCCTTTTAATTATTTCTGTTTCTTTATTTTTCTTACTTCTTGTAATAACTACTTTCTCAATAAACATTTATAGACTTAGTCTTTTTGAAGACTTGAAAATTTTACACCATAAAGTTGTAGAAATAAAAACATATTGACTTTCCTAATATACTTTAACTTATAATTAGAAAATTTTATAGGTTTCAGTTTCTTAATTCAGAATACACTATTAAATGTAAGTTATATCAGAAAAGTATATTATTTCCAAATGTATCTTTTTAAATTTTATGGTGACAAACCTTAAAGGGTACTAGAAATGATTTTATATTCATATGTGAAGAAATATTATGAATATAAAAATATATAATTTGTATCTGTAAAATTACTTAGTATTGCTAATATGCACTGTGGGATAAGCACTGGACAGCTAACCATTAGGTTGGCGGTTCAAACGTACCTACATAGGGTGGCTATGAATTGGAACCAGTTTGACATCATTTATCAACAAAAATATAATAAAAGCAAGTTTGAAGTAAAAAAGATCTAGTGCTTGTCATGTAATGGTGGATCACTCAACATACTCCTGATTTTATAATTAACATAATTCTTTCTGAAAAGAAATGTAGTTGTTGTGTATATTGGTGACTTTCTTTTCATGTTAGTGATCTTAATGCTTAGATCTATCCTGTATCATTACTTTACCAAATACATTAATAGTTTGTTTTCCAATTTTAGATATGAATATCGTGTAGAGATGGTTCATCAGTCTTGCAATGATCCTACAAAGAATATCATTCGAGAATTTGCATCTGACTTTGAAGTTGGAGAATGCTGGGGTTATAATAGATTTTTCCGTTTGGACTTACTGGCAAATGAAGGATATTTGAATCGACAGAATGATACAGTAATTTTAAGGTAATAGGAAGCGTTTGGGAGTCCTGGTGTGACACTGCAGCATAATGCACTAGACCACAAAGTCGGTTTGAACTGCAAGGTCGGCTTTTGTCCTATGGGGATAATGCCATTAGGACTTTATTTCAAAGCTATTCGTTCAAGAAAGATGAATATTGAAATTCACACTACTGTATAACCTTAACCGTTTCCTTAGCCATTTCAGTGCTGGAGTGCTGTGTAGTCAGTGAGTAATAAAACTTACTTCATAAATTTGTTTGACATCTAATTAGTGGTCCATAAAAAGGAAACTACTGTTCCACTAAGTGTTGTAACGACTCATTTATCTATTGAAAGTCCAGCAGCCATACCCAAAGGGAAACTTAATCATAGCCGGGAATAAGTGCTTATTTTTTCACTTTATACGGTGTTGACTTATACAGTATTCAAATAAACTAAAAATATAGGGTTTATAGATTATAACAAGTGTCTTAGTCATCTAGTGCTGTTCTAACAGAAATACCACAGATGGGTGGCTTTAACAACCAGAAATTTATTTTCTCACAGTTTTGGGGCTAGAAATTCAAGTTAAGGGTGCTGGTTCCTCCACTCATGTGGACGGTAAGCTTCATGTGGCTTGTCATCTCTCTTCCCCTATCTCTGCTTACTGGATTGCTTGTTGAATCTCTTTTTCTATAGATATAGATATAAGATACCCCCCAACCTAATCCTATCATTAAAATAGCAAAGACAGGCCTTTCCCAGATTATATTATAACCACAAGTACAGAGGGTTGGATTTATGACACGTATTTTTGGGGACTTACAATTTCATTCATAACATTCCAGGAGTAGAAGCTAAAAGAGACAAAAACTTCTTCAAAGCCAACAGAGAAAACTCCTCTAGAAGCAGCGGGCTGGATTCAGACTTCTAGTCTTCTAAACTTTGAACCCCCTACTTGAATGCTTTTCTTTCAGCATCACCAAATAACTAAGACAGCTAATATAATATTTTACTGTTTGGATTATTTTTCATCTGGAGGTATTCTTTTAAGGTTTCAGGTACGTTCACCAACTTTCTTCCAAAAATGCCGAGATCAGCATTGGTATATAACTCAGTTGGAAGCTGCACAGACTAGTTACATTCAACAAATAAATAATCTTAAAGAGGTAGGCAAATAATATGTGTTTTGGGTTTGGTGCTTTATATTGACTTTTGACCTATTTCATTTGTAGTTGGGTTTTGGATATTTGTGGCTATCTGCAGTCTTGTAGATGAGTTCAATTAGTTTGCTCCTTATCCTGACTTTTGAGCTTGCACTTGCACTGCCCATTTAGTATCTGGTAGGTACATTTAGTTATGTTTTAATTAACTGAGATCTCAGTTGTACTAACCAAACTTTAAGTTATCAGGAGGCACATATGGTGGCTGCTATATTAGGCATAACAGATACAGACCATTTCTATCATAACATAATGTATTGGACAGTGCTACTCTAGTGTGAGATATACTCTCTGTATATATCTCAAGGACTCGAGTATTTGTCTTCTCAAAGCTCGCTTGGGTCCTAAATTATAAAACAGTTAAAAGATGCTCCATCTTGAACTCTCATTATTTTTGACTTAAGCATTGGGTGGAATCACTTAATGAATTTTTATGTAAATTATGTCAGGAATGTTTCTTTCCCATTAATGGAAATTGGGATGGGTGGGAGATTTGTCTTCTGAGAGATGGTCATGTAAGGAGAAGGGAAAGAAAAAACTGGGACAGTTTATCCTTTACATTAATGTGTTTGGCTGCAAACGGAAAGGTTGGTGGTCTTAGTCCAACCAGAGTCACCTTGGATGAAAGGCCTGGAGGTCTACTTTACAGAAATTAACATTGAAAACCCATGGAGCACAGTGCTGTTCTGACACACATGGGGTCACCATGTGTTGTAATCCATTCACAGGCAACTGGTTATCCTGATCATACATTTTTCCCATAAGGAAAAGGTAGTAGCATGGTGTGAAAGAAATGGTTTTAGGAACTTTTTTTTTTTTTTTTAACTTGAACATTTTTTTCTTCACCAGTCATGCACTACTTATGACAATGGTTTATTTTTGCTCTTCTTGTTTTAAAAGAGACTTACCATTGAACTATCTCGAACTCAGAAGTCCAGAGATTTGTCACCACCAGATAATCATCTGAGCTCTCAAAATGACGATGGCCCCGAGACAAGAGCTAAGAAGTCTGGGTCAAGCTCTGACATGCTTCTCGAGAGTGGTCTAACTACAGCTTCTGTGAGAGAAGCTAAAGAGGATGAAGAAGATGAGGAAAAGATTCAGAATGAAGATTATCATGTAATAATTAGGCTTGCTTTAGATTGTTTTGTTTGAGAAACAAAAATGACAAGAGTCATGATTTCCACCAGTATAGGGGACTCAAAATGCTAAAAATCTTGTCCATAGTTTTTTTGTAAATGTTAATCCTTACAAGTCACAGTTTGTTGAATGAAAGTGTTTCAAGGTCTGAAAGGTACTAATTTATTGTAGAAAGCAGTAGTGATTTCTGTGATGTACATTCTTGAAACTCAGTTTTGTATATTTCTGTGTGTCCTATTTCCATTCTCTAAAACGAGAGTTTTAGGTAGGTACGATTTATAATTTGGGAGGTTGTCAGGTTTTGTTCCAGCTAAGCAACAACCAGAATAAGCATTCAAGAAGAGAAATTGATAGTGGGGTTCTTGTTTATGACAAAACGGATTCAGAGACAAGTAATAGTTTTTGGGTATCAGTTATTAGTACGGTGAGAAATTTGAGTTATATATTGAAATAAAGGTGCCATTAAATAGAAATATTGAAGATATAGCTAGGGTTATTACCAAAACTAAGCACTCAGGTGTATTGTTGTTGTTGTTATGTACCAACAGTTGAGTCTGTTCTGACTCATAGCGATCCTGTATAGGGTTTCCAAGGAATGGCTGGTGGGTTTGAACTGCTGATTTGCAGTCCAATTTTTATCCTACTCTTCTATTCCCTTGAGGATAATAGAGGTTATAGAGGACTTGAGGAGTGATGAATTGAGATGTTTTCTGTAAGGAGCAGTAGTAGAAGTTGATTGTGTACCATTTCCATCGTGGACTCTGTTGGAATTGACAGTTATAAATGACAAGTGGTGCCAGTCAATGTGGTTGTATGCTTTTCTCAACAGACCACAGTGGCTTATACACAATAACAAAATTCCGATGGTTACGTATTCCTTGGTGCTTACTTGACTAATGGGGCTGGGTGGGATGATCAAAGTACCAGAAATATTTAGGAGAGAAACACTTTTCTTTATTATGATCTAGCATGAGCTTTCCGATGGAGACCTGGATCTGGATCTTGTTGGTGAAGATGAAGTAAATCACCTCGATGGCAGTAGTTCCTCAGCCAGTTCAACTGCAACAAGTAACACAGAAGAAAACGATATTGATGAAGAAACTATGTGAGTGTCTTATATTAACTACCAATATGAAGTATCTAAGTGGTCACTTATTAGGAACATATTAATAAGCTGATGCCCCAAAGTCAGGATATTCAGTAGTTTTTTCCTTCATATGAAGTATCTTATGTTAATAACGATGATTTGCTATTTGCTTTAATTTTGAAATTTTTCAGACATAAAAAATAAAAGGGGAAGGACTTCTGGTTTGGTGGCGGCAGAGCAGAGTTAAGTAGGACAGGCTTCATGGGGGAGGGGCTGAAAACCCTGAGATGCTGAGCTCACACAGCACCAGAGCTCTGGATCTAGCATAAGGTTCAGGGCTTCAGTGTCCCGCAACTGCCTATGGAAAAATCACGGTATAAAGGAAAATATTGTGAATTAGGAATCGGTCAAGACACGGGACTCCCTCTGCGGCCATCCTGCCTGGGTGGAGGTCAGAGGGCAGGGCTGCAGCCAGACTGGCACAGGGAACCAGCATTAAAAGCAGCACAGTGACATTTGCAAAAGGAGGTGCAGGCAATTCTACACATTTTTTCCTCTTCTTCCCTGTCACTCTTCCTTTGTCTAGCCTGGACACCTTCAGGTGGGTGGGTCTGCACCCCAAAAGAGTCCAGCATTGAGAACACAGCTTTCCATTTGGTCCAAGGGCAAATTCTTTGGCTGCTGCTTTTGACATCTGCCTATAGGTCCTAGGCCTAAAGTTAACTTGTGTGGGACCCTTTACTCATGCCTATCCAGCAAGAAAAAAAGCAGGTTTGGCCTGACAGACAAGCCATATGAACAATCTGTAAAACCCCAACATAAAAAGATGCAACTATTTCAAGAATTACGCTGTACATAATTGACCTTCAGAGACAAAAATAATAAAATAGTAAATCTTTCTCCCATTAACTTCTCAATATCTATCTGCACACCACTACGGTGCTGAATAGAGGAGGGGCATGAGCGAGTGGACACTCCCACCCACCACTAGACACTTCTCTGGTGCACACACACTGCCTGTGTAGCAAGGTGCCTGGCCAGTCAGCCACAGTTTTACTTTTATTTCAAAGTGGTAGTTTTTGTCTCTGCTTTTATATTGCTTCTGCTTTGGGGCCTTTTGATCACACATTTTTACTGGAGGCAGGAGCTTTTTCTCCCTACGTTACCCAAGAAGAGTCAGCAATCTTGGCCATATACCAAGCTACAAGCATACCCCATAATATTACACCATTCAGACAAGAACCAGTAACAGCTGCTAAGCATTACATGCAAAAAGGAAAGCCTATCTCCTGATCATATCCACCAGGAGACACCCAGTAAGCTTAATAACACAGCAACAAACATCTATTTAAGCATGAAAAACCCACATAACTGTTGGAAATGACCAACAAAAGATATCAAAACATGTCCAAAAACAGAAAAGAGTTAACAGACAAATGAACTGGAGACACGCAAAGAAAGGCTTTTCAGAAGAGGAAGAGCAAGTTTTGGATTTGCCTGAGAAGGAATTCAGAAGAATGATATGGAAACAAATGCAAATGCTCCAAAAACAGGTGGAGGAAAACAAGAAGTCAGGAAAGTACGACAAGAGCAATCAAACAAGATCGATACAGCATTGGAAACAATTCAAAACCTACAAAAAGAGGTCCAGATGATTAATAATAAAATATCAGAAATGTACAATACACTGAAAAGGGAAAGTTGCAGAATTGAAGAGATGGAAGCCACAACCAGTGAGCTGGAAGACAGATCTCTCAATACTGCTTAGATAGAAGAGCAAGCAGAAAAAAGGATTTAAAAAAAAAAAAAAAATAAGATTCATACTGGATAACATGATTTAGAATAACCTAAGAATTATTGGCATTCCGGAACAGGAAGACTCAAACTCCACAGAGGAAATACTTGAAGAGGATCTGGAAGAAAGTTTCT